AAGATTGCAAATGGATCACTATAAGAACACCTTGGAGGTGGGAGCAGGGGATTAGCTATGAGATTGTTTGACCAAAAAGCCTTATGGACGGCCAGAAATCATTCCGGAATTACTGTGCTCAAATTTGACCTTAATCAAGAACTATATACACAGCAGCCTCTCTGTGCCTTTAGTGGCCACTGTTTCTGAAAAGTCAATACTAATTTTTGTGTATGGTGAGCCTCATTCCAAGCCTTACTTTGTCCAATGTTTCTAATAATGACTAGCTCAGGCCCTTGCTCCTTCCTTGATAAATAGGGAGACTTCTGACTCTCCAAACACGGGAAAGGCAATCACTGTAGCAAAGAATGGAAAAAGCCAGAACTGTGATTGTCTTCTCCCACCCTAGCAAGAAGAGGCATGAACATCAATGGTAGACGCAAATCCACCATAGCCTGGATCAATGTATCATTAAAGATGGAAAGAGCAACTATGTGCATCAATAATACAGACTGACTTACATTGAGAATTATATACAGGTTGGTGGATAACTGAGTGTTGTTCTTTCAGATCAGGATATGTCCATTTCAAATAACAACATGCATGCAATGCACAGATCTGAATGCGTTATGAAAACCAGAATAGTATACCTGTGGTTATGGATGAAAATCTCAAACAGGTAATGGCAGTCCACAGGAAAGCAGAAATATCTCTGCAGTAAAGGGTTGATTTATTCCCTCAGACATCCCTGCTCCAGAGTGATGTAGCAGAATCCTAGTTACCATGTACCAGGGATATTGGCAAGTCTGTGGGTTCAAGTCCCAAGTCCGAGTCTGAGTCTTCGGTACCAAGTCCTGAATTCCAAGCCCCAAGTCTGTGCCCCTAATGAAAATACGATTTTATCCCCAGAAAAAACGGACGGGTGGTTGGGTTCTGAGTAGAGATGGGATATCTGTACAGTGGTGCCCCACATGACAACAATAAACCGTTCCAGGAAAATCGCTGTTAAGCAAAATTGTCATCATGCAAAAAATAATTCCCCTTGGAATGCATTGAACCCCATTTAATGTGTTCCAATGGGGAAATTACCTCGTCGTCCAGCAAAGATCGCCCATAGGGGAAGCCATTTTCCGAATGCCGATCAGCTGTTAAAATGGCTGCCTTGTGAAGCATGGGTCTGGAAAACACAGGGCAGCCATTTTAGGAACCCGACGAAGATTGTTGTCTTGCGAATAAACGGTCTGCGAAGCACCGACCAAATTGTTGTCAAGCGGAATTCCCCCATAGGAATGACTGTTTTGTGAATCGCTATAGTGATCGCAAAAAGTCACCGTCCTGCAGATTTGTCGTACAGTGGGGTTGTCGTCTAGTGAGGTACCACTGTATATGGATATGAATATCCCAGACCCAAATGACTGGGAAACCCAGTCCTGCCTCCTCAAACTGACCCCTCCACTTATGGGTTGCCATGCAGCCCACATCCTGCAGTGGCTGAGTGGGGAGACATGATCCTGCCCCCTGGCTGGAGTGGCCAGCAGTGCAGGGAGGCAGAGAAGACCCAGCCGGGCTACATCCAAGATTGGCATGACAAGCAGGATACCAGCCATGAGCACCGCATAGCAACCCATTATTGGATGGGTCAGTTGGAGGAGGCGGGATTGGGTTCCTGGCCACCTGAGTCCAGGATATTTGTATTTCTGTACAAACATGAATATCCCATCTCTAGTTTGAGTCATAACTTGAGTCTGAGTCATTGGGGTGGGAATTGAGTCGGGTCCAAGTCAAATCACCAGTGTGACTGAAGTCTAACTTGACAGCAAGTCCCATCACTTGAGTCCCCATCCCTGCCATGCTTAAACCTTACATTACTCTGGAATGAGGTTCAGTGATGGAGGCATCCATTCTAATGCAATATCATGCAAAACTGCAGGGGAACACAGCCTCTAAGTTTACTTGCACAAGCATTGAGAAAAGCAAAATCAAGTAAGTTTAGAGTTTATTCAAATAGAGTTTATTTAAAGTTTATTCAAGTTTATAGTGTTTATTCAAATGATGCGGATTTGTTGGTGTTCTTAAACACAATGCTTTGCAAGGTCTCAAAAATACGACCCCAGCAGTTTCTGACAGCATGGAACTGAATGGAAAGCCCATGGTTCTTCATTTACGTCATGTATTATTCTTCATCAAGGTGTATTTTAAAACATGTCTTTGTATACATCTTGCCACACCTCCCAACCTTTGCTGTTTTAAATAAGTCATTTTTCTGAAGCTTCTTTTATGCAGAAACTAATTTTCTACAGGAGAACCTATTTTATTATAGCTGCACAAGAACAAAGCTATGCTGTGGTTCTGGTAGACTCTACCAGGTAGAGCAAATCAACATTCTACAAGGTTATTTTAAAAATGGGGGCAGCCCAAGCAAAAAAACAAAGCAAAAACCCTACCACTCTGAAAATGGGTTTCAGATCAGCACGAAACCTGTATGTAGTGTATATATATACGTATCCCAGGGGATACAAATACAGTAGTGCCTCGACTTACAAACGTCCCTACTTATGACCATTTTGAGATACAACAAGCTCCGGCTGCAAAATTTTGCTTCTACTTGCAACCGGAGCTTCCACTTATGAATAGAAAAGGGCAGGGGAAAAAGGTGGGGAATTCAAATTGCTAAATGTCGGTGGCAATGAGGCTGCTTCTTTGTAGCTCTTTCACCCCAGCAGTTAGAGAGTGTGTGAACGAAGGAGGCTTAGGACTGCCTGGCTTCTGCTTCTGAGTGTGTGTGTGCGTGTGTGTTTGCAGGGAGGCTTGGGACTGCCTGGTAAGGTAAGGTGCTGTTTTCTGCTTTTCAAAAACTGTTCTAGGTGGTTTTGCAGCATGGTTTTGGGCTGGTGGGGTTATGTTTCTGTGCTGTGATGAGTCTTGGGTGGTTTGTTTGTTTTTGGGGGGTTTTTCCCCATTTCTGATGGGTCTTGGGGGGTTTGGTTGCTTTTTGGAGTGTTTTTCCCCATTACCGGTGGGTCTTGGGGGGTTTGTTTTTTGGGTTCCCACCATTTCTGATGGGTCTTGGGGGGTTTGGTTGCTTTTTAGGTTTCCCCCCATTTCCGATGGTCTTGCATGCTTCCCTTGCTTTTTCCATTGTTCTCTTAGTATTTCCGATCTGCTCCGTTTATTTTCTGTGCATTTCCGACTGGGGCCCTTTGTTTTCTGTACATTTCCAATGGGTCTTGCACACTTGATTGATTTTCTTCCCCACCCCCCTTCGGCTGGAAGGGATTAATCTCGTTTCCAATGAGTCTTGCAGTGAGGTTTTTGTGTGATTTTTTTTTCTTCAGCCGGAACAGATTAATTGCATTTCAATGCATTCCTATGGGAAATGGTGCTTCGACTTATGACCATTTTGAGTTACATCTATCTTCTGGAACAGATTATGGTCATAAATCGAAGCACCACTGTATGAAGCTCAGCACCACAGGTGCCATGGCAGTCTATTCCTGCCCCTCCCCTCAAGTCAAGTTTATCCACTGATTGAGCTCCTTGCATCACGCACATCTGATGGCAGCAAAGTTGCACCATTCATAGACATAGTCCCGCTGGCTCTGCCCCGCCTCTCCCATCAACCGAATGTTCAGTAGCTGAGCCGGGACACTCGTCTTCCCACTTCCTCACCAGAGCAGTCGGCTAAGGGGAGAGGCGGGGAAGCGCTAGAAGAATTATGATCATGATTGGCACAATGTCGCCTCTCATGGACATGTGCACTGTGAGGAGCCCAGTGAGTGGACCAGGTTGGTTCTGGGGGGTGGGGAAGGACCACCCTGGAACCTATGGTGCTGAGCTTCATATTTGTATCCTGAGGGATACAAATACGAAGCTACCTGTCTAATTAAGACTGTTAGTTCAAATCCTTACTTGGCTATGAGTGTAATTAAGTGACTTTGGGCCAGTCAGTGTCTCAGTCTGACCCACCTCATAGAATTATTGCAGAATTAAAGCAGGAAACCAAAATATTAATATTTCAGAAATGTGTGTGCATTTGCAAAGCCCCACTTAGATTTCTTAATTTTGGATTAGAAAAGGGGGGCGTCTTATACATGGGGGTGTCATACACAGAAAAATATGGTATGTATGTATGTATGTATGTATGTATGTATGTATGTATGTATGTATGTATGTATGTATGTATGTATGTATGTATGTATTTCATAGGTTTTAATACTGCCCTTGTTAGTGCAAGGCACTATTTGGGGGGATTAAAAAATGTTAAAATCAAACAAAAATGACAATAAATCAGACAATGAAGATAATCAAATTATGATAAATCATACAAATTAAAACTCACAAAACTAAGACAGTGCACATATTATGTATAATAGGGTGAGCAGGGCAAGCGGCATATTCATATGAGGTTGTTATCACAGGCCTGTACAAAGAGCTGCATTTTCAGCAACCTCTTAAATTTATTCATTTATTTTATTTTATTAGATTTATACCCTGCCCATCTAGACAGATAGTCTATGGTGGCAAGGGAGGGAGGGAGGCGACCAGGAGCAGCTAGCCTGTGAGCTGGTTCCAGAACCGAGAAGGTCCAACTTCTAGTAGATGTTTTTCTGGCCTTCTAGTATGGCCACCTGGAGAAGCATTGGCTGAGAGGATCTGGTGGCACAGGTAAATGACCTTGGGGAAAGATACTTTATAGGTAAGTACCACAACCTTGAACTTGACCTGGGATGTCACCTTCTTCTAAATATTGTTTTAACCATGCATTTATGTGGTGGCAAGCCAGGAGGGCAAATTTTTGCCCACAGAGAAGACAGCAACAGACACAGAAATGCCTTTTGCTGAGGCGCAGTAAGAACCAAGTCAGGACATGTGAAAGAAAACAACACTGAGCAGTGGCAGGGCCAGTCTGCATTCCAATGGGCAACAGTGATAAGCAGAAATCCAGCCCTCTGAGAAATAGTCAATCAGCACATTATAAATTTCTGCTAGCATGTGAACTAGTCATTCAGAAAATCAGACCCTTTCAAAAATTATCCATCTGTTTATGCAGATAAATGATACACACAGTTTGGGACGCCTGAGGAATTCTGTCTTTGCATATTCTGATACCAGCTGAGATGACCCCAAGTATATGGATGAATGAGACCATAATATATTCACTGTCTTTTGCATGGCTTGAATGTTCTGATGTAGTTTCTGGCTGAAAAAAGTATGGAACACATGTTTAGAATGTGAGCTAAATCCAACATTGATCTGACCTAGAGTTAGATACATTGAGATGAATGGAAATTGTTAGTCAAAATGACCTAATTCTCATTGTTAATCTGAATTAGAGTTCATTAATTGAATCAATGGGACTAGTATGGTATTGGATTTGCTACGTATTTGTTTAATGGGTGTTCTCTGGATCTGACTAATCGTTGGATTCAGCTGAATTAACTTAAGACGCATTCATTCCCGTGGGTCACTCCTAGGAAGGACTCATGTTGGATCTTTAACAATACTCATTGTCTTTAACAATACACATTTAAATGTGCATTTTTGTCCACTTTTAAAAATGGCTATTGTGCTCACAGCACAGAATAAACTATGTGTTAATACATATGGAAGGATGTCTGGACAAGAGGTTGGCAAATTCATGCATTCACAATAAGTAACAGGGGTAAACATGAAAGTACTCTAACAAACAAGATAGACATTATACAAAAGATGCAGGATCAAGGTATTTTTTGTGGCTGCTTGGGAGAATTATAGGATATTGGTGTATGTATACAATCAATTGAAGATAAATTCCCTGATGTTTAGGATTGGAATGTCTAGCAAGTAAACTGGTGTTTTCAAACTGGCATTTGGTGATTGATGTGATCATAATGGCTTTATTCTTTCATGTGTTTTGTTTTGCTTTTCATCTATTTTTAATTTATTTTCCATCTGTTTTAATGACCTTTTGGATACACTGAATGCTATTTTTAGTAGAAAGCCAGGACAATGATATAAAGAAGGAGGAGGAGGAAGAGGAAACACTGCAGTAGGGAAGCTTCTCAGCCTCACTGACAAAACATCAGGTTAAAGAAAGAGAAGGATATGAGTCTTGCATCTGGGTGAACTGTAAAGCAGAGTGAGAAAGCTGGGCATTTTTCCCTGCTTTATGTTTGTAACTGATTTCAGGTGCTGTGACTTACCCAGTCAAATCTTCCATGATGACACAAATTTCACAAAAAAAGACCCTCAGAAGATTGGACTGATACCTGACACTGCCTGAAAGCAAAGAAGAAAAATTATTCACTCACTCTGCCTCCTGAAAATTAAAGCAATGCAATAACAACATCTCAATTCTCTTTGATATGCTTCCTGCACATAATAGTTGCTGATCCAGAGATGGGGAATTCTCTTTGAGGGACTCCATGGCTGGAGTTTTCAGGAGAGCTTGGACTTTTCATTGACATTTCAGCTGTCAGAGTTTTTCTGATTTGGCCTTCCTGGTTCTTTTGTTACAGCATTTTGTTTTCCCACTGAGTGCATCTTACATTTTTCCCCTGTTTCTAAATTCTTCTAAATGCAAGAAGAGGTGCTGGTGATACTTTATAGGCCACTAATTAAAAAAAATACAGTGTGAGCTTTTGTGGGTAAATCCCACTTCTTCAAAACAAGTATCAAAAGTCCAAACATTAATGGTAAGATGGATTTTGGCAGGAGGTGGCTCTTAGATGTAAAGTTCTTAGCAAGATGAATTTTGCCAAGCCTGTTTGCCTTAGATGAGACAAGAAGCAGTAGAGTTGTTGTTTCAAAGTTGCTGTTGAGGCAGCTCTGTGTTGGATTTCACACCCCAGTTCTTCAAATAAAGGGGCCACGTGCGCGCGCGCACACGCACGCACGCACACACACACTCCTCCTCCTCCTCCTCTCCATTTGGCTGTTCTTTCAAACAGACATGTTTCTGCTTGGCCACAGAAGCAGGATCGATGCAGAAAAACTATGTCTTCCATCTGGTAATATGGGTATAATTTAGTAAATGGACTAGGTATGGCCAGTTGGTGTCAGATTAAAGTAAAAAGAATATTATCTAGTGGCTGCAGTCCTGCTCTGCTGGTGTTGAGAGTCCATGTGCCTTTTTGCTGGTATGTGGAGGCAGTGGCTCTTTCTTAGTATCCTCGTAATTCCATTGAAATAAAGATGGAGCTGAGTGGCCACACAAAACACAAATGCAAGATTAGGCCCCTACCATAGAGGGATGAGGGCAGGATCATGAACCTGCCAGTTCCCTGACAGAACCGCTCTAGTCAACAGAGAGACAGTGCTCGATCCAGGAAGTTGAGAGTAGAACTGGCAACATAAGGAGATTTTGGTTGACATTGCTGTCTCCTTCCCTGGAGTCGCTTATGCAAAATCTAAACGGCTATAACTGCATCCTGCGTGGGAAAATCTACATTGGGGTAAGCGCCAAAGTCCCTCTTCACTCTATGATTCCACAATATGGAGCATTCTCATGTTGGCACTTTGATGTTAATAGCATACATCACAAATATGCACCAGTAGCATTTGTTTGAAATGCTTGAAATGATAAAGCATAAAACAATATTCATTACTCAGAAAGTGTATCTGATGAAATCACTGACAGTGAAAACACTGGGGGGAGATACCAAACTGTAAAATATAAGACAGAACCCTATTATGAACAAATGGCAAAAGGTACTTGATTCTATTCTCAATAAGACCAATAATAGACTGAATGAATATTATAAATTATTTAATGAATGTATAACTCTGCTGGTCCTTTTCTTTGAAAAATTGGGTCCATGGTGGGCACAATCTTTCTCACCTGTACTTAATTCTATGGAAATGAATACTGAACTGTCCTGAGGAGATATATTAGTAACGTAAGACACTGATGATAGTGATTCACCTACCATAACATTATGCTTACTTTATAATCTCAAAGCATTAGAAAGATTTCATACTCTGCACAAACAAATGCTGCTAGTACATATTTGTGAAGTCTGCTATTAAAGTCAAAGTGATCCATCTAACCCCAGTGTGATGCTCCTGGTCCACTAATGGGTCGTGGTGCATTCGGTCAGAGAGTCCTTTGGCACTTATCTACCATCTTTGCGCTGGACTGAGTCCCTAGACCCCAGCAGTGCATAGCATAAGCCCTTTGAAACAAGTCTGACCTAAAAAGAACACTTTGCACTTACGTACTTAGAATTTTAGCAAGTACAGACACCTGGGCTTTGTGATTCCTTAGAACTCACAACAGCTCAGTGAGGTAGGACTCTTAAATGATAGCAAATCTGTGGCTCTCTTCACCACTGGAATTAGCCAGACGTTGATGTTCAAGAACCCAGTCCTCAGTAAGGATTTTTAAAGTTTAATTTTTTTATTAGAAAAATAGAGTTTCATGGAAAATCAGTTTATATTGCAAAAGCAGTAGCATTCAAGAATATATTCAAAGATTATTGCAGTTAAATAAAATAACTATTTCCCAGTTAAAATAATAAACTTCTAACCTAGGGTAGGCTGTAGAGGGCTAGCCCCCTCTTTCTTTCTACTCAGGCTACATGCTCATACCATCATCATGGAATGAAATCCATCATCAGGAATCATTGAACACACTGGAACACAAGTTAACAATAGTGAACAACACAGAACACATAACCTATCTTCCATTTTCTACTTTGCTAGCTCCTCCCTTCTTCTTGGACCATCTGGCTGTTAACCAATTAACTTTTTGGAGGTTGTGCCACCTCCCTCCGCCTATTATTGCCACGAGAGTGCAGGTGTTGTTTGTCTTCTGTAATAGGCTTGGAATGTTGAGTCTTCCACAGGCCTCTTGATATGGCCTTCAAAATAACAGTCACAGGAAAACAGTCTCATGATGCTTAAGGAAAACACATTCAAAAGTCCTTCAAATCGTCTCTACACAGAACCATTCTGACTCCATTTTATATTTTTCTGACTACAGATCCCCTCATCATAACATGCTTCTAACTACATATCCCATGATCATGACATCCAGTATTATCAGCTTTGACCGGCAGCTGTTCTGCAAGTTTTCAGATAAGGTTCATTCCCAGACATATTTGGAAGTGGGAGAGATTGGATCTGGATGTTCTGCATGAAATTCATGTGGCTTATCCCTTCACTTATTTTTCCACTGACAGATTAGATGTCAAGGTTCTTGTGGGTGCCCCCCGCCCTGCCCTTTCAGGTACTGAAATGACCATCAAAGTCAGTGTGTATCCACCTTGGGCGTTGCTTATCGCCTCCTCTCAGCCAGTCTTCAAAAACTGATGTCTTGACTTGATTTCCTGTCACTTTGGTTCTCTGTTTGGAACTAGAACTGCTAATGTTTACAATGAGCTTTACTGAACTCGAAACCTCGACTCTCAATTGGCGACTCGTCACAAGTGAATCACTGTAAAAAGGCTTGGCTGGATGATAGAACTGAAGGTCTGTCCCAGAGGAAAGCAGACCAGTGTTTGTGAGAGAGCCTAGTGGAACTGACAGCCTTTCCTGTTAGATTGCCGTCTCTAAGCACTGGAGACTCCCCTGCTTGTCTAAGCGGGTAATGTGGCTACCATATCTTCTAAACCAGCGGATTGACTAAGATTTAAATGCTCTGTCTCAGAGATCCCATGAGAAACCTATGGCCCGTATAGGAATAAATGATTAAAGTACTTTAAGGAAAAGACTAAGAAGGAAAGCACTAAGTCTCAGCTAAAGGCAAACACACTTTGTTTATTTTTTAAATCAAGAATCACTCCTCTATTTTAAATAGAGATAGGTACAAATTGGCAGGTTGGTGGTTTGTCCAGGTTCGTTTACCACAACAGGTGTTTGGTGGTTCAGCATTCTGCCCCCTTTGACAGTCACCTGCTCAGAAGCAGTACCTGGAGGAGGTGGGGCAGGGAAGCCGGGATGCTGCTTCTGAGTGGGCACCTGCCAGGGGAGGTGGGGTGCCAAACTACTGCCGAAAACAAACTGGAACAAACTGCTGAACCGGCAGTTCATGCCCATCTCTAATCTTAAAGCAATGTAGCAGCCAATGTCTTGGATTGTTCTGTGTAGTGGCTGTTTGCTGCCATGAAGAGAGGCTACTTTTGTTCAAACCAGACCTCTATTTAAAAAAAACAACAAAACTCTATTTGGGCTTTAAGCTAACTATAAAGCTGACTGGATAGCTCAGTGGTTTAGGTACCTGGCTGTGGAGTCAGAGGTTGGGAGTTTGATTCCCCCCACTGTGCCTCCTGTGAATAGAGCTAGTCTGTGTAGCCTTGGGCAAGCTGCATGACTCCAGGGACCCCAAGAAGAAGGGAATAGTAAACCACTTCTGAGTGTCGTCTACCTGGAAAACCCTGAAAAAGGATGCACCATACGTCAGAATTGACTTAATTAATTAGTAATGATGATGATGATGTGCTGTCAAGTCAATTCTGAGTGCCACAAAATATTAAGTGTTTTGTGGCACTTAATTAATTAAAGAGAGGCTACTTTTGTTCAAACCAGACCTCTATTTAAAAGAAACAACAAAACTCTATTTGGGCTTTAAGCTAACTATAAAGCTGACTGGATAGCTCAGTGGTTTAGGTACCTGGCTGTGGAGTCAGAGGTTGGGAGTTTGATTCCCCCCACTGTGCCTCCTGTGAATAGAGCTAGTCTGTGTAGCCTTGGGCAAGCTGCATGACTCCAGGGACCCCAAGAAGAAGGGAATAGTAAACCACTTCTGAGTGTCGTCTACCTGGAAAACCCTGAAAAAGGACGCACCATACGTCAGGATTGACTTAATTAATTAATAATGATGATGATGTGCTGTCAAGTGCCACAAAACACTTTTAAAATGGGTAAAGAGACCTAGACTGTCCCATCAACTTATCTTATTCCCCCCCTCTCTCTGTGTTTAATCTCTTGCTTTCTCCTTTGTTCATTTATCTTTCCATATGTGTACAAAAGCACACTCTTTTTTCCATGGCAAGTCATGAAAAGTCTCCCTTTCAGCCTTGGCAAAGAAAACTGAATTGGTCTTGAATTATCTGAGCCTGATCTATTTGATATAACAACTTTCTTTTCCCCTAATTTCTCATGTCTGCAACAAAATGCTGCAGGAGCTGAGGAGCATTCATGCATTTCTGCTTCCCCTTCTCCTTTCCTTTACTAGCTGAGACAGGAGGTGAGAGAATGAGTATGGATCACTCCATAGCTCTAAAGGACATCATGCTGTTTCCTCTGGAAAGCAGGAGACAGAAGCAGACTATAAGCTGGAGCAGATATGAGGTATTACCGTTTTTTCCTGATAAGAACCTGTTTGCTTCCACCCCAGTTTCAAGGTGATGGTACTAACCTATAAGGCCTTAAACAGTTTGGGACCTCGCTATCTGGCCAAGCACCTCCTTCCAGTTAGTTCTGCCTGGCCTATAAGATTGTCACGGGCAGGGCAGCTGAGAGTTCTGACCCTGAGAGAGACCCAGAAAACAACCACTAAAAATTGGGCCTTCTCAGCAATAGCGCGAC